TCACAAGAATCAAAGTCTACATCTTCTTTGCGGTACCAGTGAACATCAAAAAGGGCAAGAAAGCTAGTTCATTTATCGAAACTTAGTTGAAACTTGTAGAAGGTAAAAATGTGAAAAGAGCGGCGAAAAACGGCTTTCGTGAATTTTTGGGCGTTTATGATTCCGCCGCGAGGCCGTAACCATTGAATGGGATGATTTTGCATAATAGTCCGCTAATTGTCGCCCGCCGCGAACGCGTCGCTCGACCCATGGGAGTTTTTGCCGAAACGGCGCCGCCGCGAACGTGTTAACATACGAGAGGCAGCCGCTCTCTTTCACATTAAGAGGCAAAGCTCGCGATCATCCGTTATCACAAATAGTGGATTAATGGTTTGCATATAGAAGACAAGGTTCTGTAACTTGATAGTGAAGAAAAAAGCAGAAAAATTATGCCAACTGCCCTAGATAGAACCCCATTCCGATCCCAGTTTGTACGTGCCCAATTAACTCCATCTCCAACACTACACCCTCATCCGCACAGCTGATTCCTCCGATAAGAACTCTACGACCGTACGAGTGACGTGATGATTTTCATGCTTTTTCGTCCTGCAGCTTTTCACTGAAGGCGGCCTTGAAGGCGGAGTCTGGAGGTGGAGTCATTGGAGAAAAGGAGGTGTCACTGAACCTATATTGCGCTATAGGCCTATCGCTTACAATTTGGCCGCAAAACCCTTGCAAGGCTGTTCGTCGCGGATCAAGTACCCTCCCGACGCTATATTTCCAACTTCTATACCTGATCGCAGACCGTGCCTTTAATTTGGGCTCGAGCTTGCTCTCTACTATGATCAATGTTTTGTTGAAACAGGGTCGTGTTCATGTGTAGTTTCGTGGAGAACGTCCCTTATGTTTAGGTAGTATTCGTGATGACGGGTGACTGTGGAAACCGAACGCATCCAGGATTTCAGGTTTATGAAAGGATCGCTGCTGCATCGTTCGGACAGGTGCCATATCGAAAAAGCTTCTATAGTAGTAAAAAAGAGAATCAAACTGATCTCAACGAGGTGTTTTATGTCTTCAGGTTTTCCACCTGGAAAAGAGCGACGTCTCCACTGTTTTGGAATATGTAAGGCATACCGTGAGACAGAAAAAGGTGACATCAAAGATGCTTAGTTCCAGTGACCATTTTATCAGCTCCCTTTTTGACATATGATCCCTTTCACTGAAGCAATTCAACTTTTTTTCTTTAGATTCATATGCTTTATGAGATAAATGAATACGGAGGAATGAAGCTGCGCATTGTACCTGTTGATGAGCTCATGGAAGAGCTCACAATTTCATTATCTGGCGACAAAGATAACGAAGATGTGCTTGATATCATGCTGAAAGACCCACTAGGTACCCTTCATATCGTGTCATACTTTACTTACTCGTACTCGTACTTTTGACAATTTGGTTATAAAGGGCGGTAACACGCGCGTAGGATGATGAGCTTCTGTCTTCTACATAGCCGAATAATGAACGAATAATAACAGAGCAAGAACTGATTTGAGTATTCAAATTTACCGGCTCCTAATATGTTTTGAGATGAAATTGAAAATGAGCACCTGTGTTCGACACTGAGCGAACCTCGGTATAAGGCAGCGCTCAACCTTTGCGATGAAACGCGTTGGCGGCGACGACGCGCTTCCTTTGCTGCAGCCCTCCAATCCGTAGACGAGAAGCAGCCACAAACTATTGGTCGGCGCCGGCCGGATCGTGTGGGGAAAATAGGAGGGTGTACGTTGCCTAACCACATTCTCTCGCATCGATGGCCCCATCCGCTAATGTTTCGGGAGAATATAAAGGTAAACGAGACTACCAGACTGTTTGATTGGGCAGCGCCTACACTCCTATTCCCAGATAATCTCTCAAAACAGTTGCGTCCCACGCAAATCCGTAGCCGCCTATGGAATGGCAGCGTGTCGACGCACGTCATCGCGAAGTTCGAACGATGCCCAGACTGAGGCAAGATGTGAGGATGACTTTTTCCGAGTAACGTCTTTATAAGGGAACCCGAGCAGGTTGATCTGGGCGCAGTCATTAATTTTCAAAGTGTGATTTGCAACTTCTTCTTCTTATTATTATTCTTTCATGCATCTTTCTTCATCCTCAGCGTTTGTTCCACTGCACTCGGTGCGGTTCCACCTCTTCTATATTTGTTGATGCATCTGAAATCCTGGTAAAGGTTGGGCATCAACTGATATTCAAATCCGCGTGCCGTGTGCAAGTGCACCCTTTGCTTGGAGCGTTTCTTTGAGGCGCTTCCGAGCATCCAGCTGAAGACCAGTCTTACAGGTGCCCGCTGCTCGCAGAGTACTCGGTCATATCATCGTGCACGAGATTCTTGCATTTTATCAACTGCTGGTGCTACGCCGAATTTCTTGCTTATGTCATTGTTACAAATCCAATCCATGCACAAAGACCGACCCTCCAACGAAGCATTTTCATCTCACTCACACTGGAGGGGCTTCGACTGCTCGGGTCGCAGCCAGCACTCAGCCGCGTGCGACGCTACTAGCCTAACCACAGCTCCATAGATATTTGACATAAGGCACTCTGGTATCGTCTTGTTGAGGTCCACTCATTGAGCGTCATTCAGCACATGCTGCACTCCAATTCACCTATGACGCCAGGCTGCCATCGAAAACCACTTTTGACCCAAGATCTCGCTCGTGTGAGCTCGATGCCACTAATCTCGATGGACGGCCTAATTTGAGTCGAACGATGTAACAGTCAGCGTTCACTTCCAGTCTGGGGTCCACGAAGAAAATATCGGTCTTCCCATTCCAAGGACTTCCGGTCCATACCATCAACCCGCGCCTTGGCGACTGCGGTGAAGATGATTCCTGAGCCGCAGCGACGTTGTCAGGAGCTGCTCGATGTTGGAGGTCTTCCAGATCAAGAGTGCCGGTCCCAGCCTACTGCCCATGGGTGACTCGATACAAGAAGTTTCGCAGCTGTTTGGAGGTAACGTGAATTCCATGGGCCTTGTTTAGCTCGGCTGTCATTGCAGATGGCCACCTAATTTAACGGTAAGAACGTGACGCACTGCGCGTTCTCACTTTATCACACTATTGGCAGTACGCAACAGTGAGTCTCTTTTGATCCATCGTGTCACTGAAATTGAACAGATCATTGACGTGGGTAGAACTGACAAAGTAACTTTCGCATTAGAATTTTCTTTTCGTCTCTTGGTCTGCGTCTCTTAATTTAAGTTGCAGCCAGTTTAGGACAGGCCTGCGTTGAGCACGATAGGTAGTATATTACGAGCCTTGGGTATGCATTCAAGCCTTTGAAAACGGCGAGATTGTCCAAACGTCAGGTGTAGTAAAGAATTCACCGTACAAACCCGCTCGGCATAATACACACTACCCATTCCTGTTACCAAAGTGCGAACCAACAAAAGAAAAATTGACGGCGTACACCAGTGGTCTGCGCTATCTTGGTGCTATCTCACCTCGAAACAATCGATGGATGTTCAGAAGTAATCACAGCGGTCTCGAGTGAAGAAGTCTTCGCCGTCGAAAAGGATAGAGAGACCTGCACTCTCAACCATGCGATGATGATCACGCTTCGACATTTGCATCAACAGACCTGCCTCAACCTCAACACTCCATCAGAGTTACCAATGGGGATGATGACGATCGAACCAGAAGCAATCAACTTTCAATGCAACAGAAAAAAACGACCACGAGATCGTATCGTGATCAGTTTGCCCTACCATCACGCCGGCAGTTGTCAAGCAACTCTGCAAAGCAACTGCAATGTTCGTCGCATCGATCTGCAGTACGATTCGACTGCTAGTTTTCCCGAAATACGTGAACATGTACGACCGTTTTGCATAGCGTAACTTACACACGCACTCTTTTTATTCTTCTTTCTTCCTTTGTGATACTATGCCTAGCTTTCTGAATCTGCTCGAGAACGCCGTATGGTAAATAACACTGATTATTCTTTTGCCGTTGGCAGAGTCATTTATATATCTCTGGAGAAATAGATCGGTTTCGTTTACACCTTTACAGAAAAATTTTCTCCTTGACTCATACTCACTGAAATATCTTCTGAATGATACACTTTTTTATCTCGAAATGCCTTCAGCTGCTGATGTCTGCATGATTCAAACTATATTTTGTCTCATAGCTACAAATTGTTTCGAATTATGCAACAATGTTATGGTCATGACCTCAGTTCGGATCATTTTCTGTCCACATGAAAGCTCGCGCGAAATAAAATTGTCGGCTCTCTCATAATAAACTAAACTTTCCAAGCGGACGCGGTTC